CTGCAGATCCGGAGGGGGGAGTGCTAGGTAAAACCTTTCAATGTCTACTAGCCGAGCAGTTCAAACGCCTACGAGAAGGTGACCGCTTCTGGCATGAAAACGCGCCGAACTCAGCAAAGAACACTGATAAAACAGCTTTCACGCTTTGTCAACTGCAAGAAATTAGAAAAGTCACATTGGCCAAGGTGATCTGCGACAATTCTGAGAACATCCCTTCTATCCCCAGGAGGGTATTACAACAGTCAAAGATATTCACCGATTGTAATAAGCTGCCCGAAATGAACTTGAACGTGTTTAAACCAGGTTTCGGATGTTGATGGCGAGGGTATGTTGCAGCTATTATTGATTAGAAGCATATTCATCTAAATTCCGTCTCAATTTCGATTAACTGTTTGTTAATTTTCTTATTTTCCGACAGAAGGAAGGGCGACACTCCAAACCTTGAGGTTGAATATGACGAAGGATCGACCGACTAACCCATCCACAAAAATATGGAATAATTTATCGGCTTCTCGGCTCCGAATCATGGATTTCTATTATTTTAGGAAGGATTATAGATTAAGTCTACTAGGGTCAAGGGTTTAATATTGATTTGCGCAGAAATTAGATAGTGGTTTGAAGAATACTGATTTAAATTCTTACGGTGGAGGAGAGTTTGCAAGGATAATCTTGTTAGTGAAATTTAACGTTCTTTTTGTAATTGGTTGTGTTGTTTTCTAACTTACTGGGGATCGCGCCCTTATTTTTACCGGTCTCAGCCTACAAGATATTGCCATTGAGGGATCCGATAGGTATTAGGCTTTTCTTGTTGTTGTTGTGGTTTTTTTTAGTTTTATTCAAAGAGGTTTCATGTGTAATTTCAAATATGATATCTAGGTGAACCATTTTGGAAGCTCGCTATATTCCGCTTTAGATAGACATACAATAAACTTCATTGATGCATTAATCAGTGTCTCTTCATTGACTATCAACATATAAATGCGCAGCGGATCACTTTCCAGATATCGGTCCCTGAGTCCTAATTCACGAGCATTTATGAACCGGCTCTCTTAACATCAATACGTATGTTCTCCATACTGTTCTCTGTACTTCTTTTGGCAAGGAAAAAATTTTTAACAATCAATGCAAAAGCTTGTTTAGTTGACGGTCATTTCTTTTATTCTCGTGATCTTGATTTGTGATTCTGGAGTGATGGTTCATGTAAGGAGTAATTAGATGCTAGTCACCCTTGAGTGTCAATCCTATAAGCGAACTGAACTATCCGCTTTAACATCGAAGCATCTTATTGAAAGGCAATTTTCTGTTCATAGGAAAACTTGATGAAAGGAGAAAAAGGCTTTTTACTTCGCCACATGCGCAACCTCGAGACAGTTTAGTCTTCAATCCTTCTGAAACATCGAGCCCTCTACTAGTACGTACTGATAACATGAAGCTTTTTATATCGCTGATTTCATCTCCTCATGCTGTTATATCAACATTCGGAGACAAACTTCCCGGTCATTTTATATCCTCAGTTAATCTTTTCTTTCGTTTTTATTTTTGTTCTGATTCGTTTTGTTTTGTTTTGTTTTCATTAAGATTAGAGCACTTGTTCAAACGGGTGAAACAACCTTTTTTATTGCAACTGAACTGACTCTCAAATTTGTCTGTTTCCAATTCAGTTAAAAAGAATAATGACAGAATGTTCAAAATTACTTTCTACGGATGTTTATTCATTAGTTATATATCATCAGTTTGCTTAAATTCACTCAGCTTAAAATTTGTATCAAAATCTTAAATAACTTTTCTTCAGTCCTACAGATTATTAAAAACAAAACGAAAAGAGAATAAGAAAGAGTAAGACCTTTGTGTAGCCTAATGGCAATGTGCATGGAAATAAATGATCTGACTCGCCAACGGCGCACCGACACTCAACTAAACATTTCTTAAGATCTCATGTATGTAGGCCTTCGAGAGAGATTTCCATCAATGTTGAGCCAAAGTGAATATTTCTAGTTGAGTTGGTCTATTTGTACTTATTTAGAGCGCGTCCATATGAATTTTCATTGCGTAGTCATTCAAAGACTGTAATTTCTACCTCGAGCGAGCGATCATTAACTCTGTTTTGGTAACATCGAGTCTTAACTTCCTAGTTTTAAGCCAAAGATCAGTATCTTTCAATTTAGTTTTGATTAAGGCCTCAACATTAGTTACGTTAGAGGCAGAAACAGTGACATAGATGTCGTCAGCAGAGAGTTCGTGAGATCAAGCAATTTGGAAGGTCATTTTGGAAGATCAGGAAGGCAATGGGGCTAAAATATCGGGATAGACATTCTAGTCTTCTCGGATAAGAACGAATAAACCGTAGGTCCCGTCTCCTGCAGGGTTGGGGTGGGAGACATTAACTTCTCACGCACGACATCACTGTGTGGTGGATGTCCTCCCCTGGGGTGGGATGGGTGGCAGTCATTAGCGCAAGCTGTTGCGGGGTCCCTGCCTGTCGGCGAAGCTAATAAACTAAACTAAATATTGACTTTTGTGGTCCTCCACAACTAGGAGGGCTCGAGTTATCAATTTATAAGACTAGTTAAATAATATTCAAACTCTCTCTGAGCATCTCGATCTAATACCCCCGACATATTTAGCGAGTTTTTGCATAAAATTCTCAGCGTAGTCGATAGTTTAAAAGGCCTTCCTCAAATCTATGAGAATCACGCAACCAAGATGGCCATTAATGCTTTCCCTAACAAAACTGTGCGAGTAGAAGGAGTAATAAGTTCTTATTAAAACATTTAGTGATAAAAACGGGCGATAAAAAATATGAACGACGTTTCGACCGCTCCACGGTCATTTTCAAGTTAGAGTTCATGAGGAAATTTCCGCATATAGACGATTTCTTAAACAATGGAATGAAGGTAAAAGCTAAGTATTTACACACAAACAATAGAGCTAATAACTAATAAAAAAAAGTGCAAAACTGAAGTGTAAATAAGCGGTGAAAAGGAGGAAAATTAATTAATATGAAGTGTTAAGTAAACAGCTACGCGCGAATAGAATCGCTTAGTTTTTTCAATTTTTCACGTTATTTGTACTCTACGAAGCACAGTTGGATAATAAAAGGCGGTAGAGTCAAGGGTGCGAGAACCAGCCCGTGATTCACACTAGCGACCTTATCACGAAAGACGGAGCAACCCCGGGAAAGACAAGAGTAAATCTTCTGTGAGTGTTCTAGCCCTTGAAGACAGTGAAGATGAAATAGAAGTCCGCAGAAGAAGTTCACATAGACGTATCAAGTGGATTCTTGACGCCGACAGCGAAAGCGAAAGTGAAGAAGTGAACATCGAAGTATCACCCAAGAGTTGTGGAGATTGAGGACAGTGCAAATGAAAATGGAAGCTCCTTTGAAACTCCACATGAATTGGCTGAAGATGTCATTACTGAATTTGAAACCTGGCTTAGATCGGCCGACGGTGGTGAGCTTGATGAGAAAACCAGCCAACAGCATAGAAAGCAAGTTTCCAAGCTTTTGAAGGTGGGGGTGACAAGTGCCATTTGACATCCTTATAAACCAAAAGTTCCTCGAGGGCTATGCAACGAAAGAATACCACCCCAAAGTAACGCAGAGTTATTTAACGAGTTTACGTCATTTTTACTCCTTTTCCCTCACTGAACAGTCAGGAATAACTGTTTTTAAGGATAATCTAATCTCTTTTAGAGGCAAGGTCAACTGGTGGTCATCAGCACATCGCCAGAACTGGGCCAAACGAATAAGGAAATGATGGAGAAAGTCTAGTACTTATGCGCCTTGATAACTCCGGATCAAATAAGACAGTCTGAAACAAGCAAAGCTGCAAGAGATGTTGTATGTTTGTTCGGTCCTGTCAGGTGCACACAACATCCTGCATGATGATCAAAACTCAGTACACGTTAAAACGAGATTCCCAGTAGTTGCTATATCTATTGAAAACGCTAACAGGGCAGGGGCTCTCGCGAACATGACAGTCGGGGAATACAACAGAATGGAAAAGGAGAGTGACGAATTCGTCGTTCTTGTGAAGGATCATAAGACAGTGAGCACCCATGGTCCCGCAGAATTGTTTTCTCTCCAAAGTTAAAAAGCTGGATGGACGTCTTCCTCAAAGAAGTACGTTTGAAATTTGCTCTTTCTGACAGTGGGCCAGACAAATGTGTGTTTTTAACGTCTAATGGAGAGTCTCTGGTTTCCAGTCAAATCAACAGAGCTTTAAAGTCCGTATGGAGGAAAGTCGAAGTGGGGGGTGCGCCAAGCTCTACGTTCTTTAGAAAGTGTCAGGCGTACACAGCAGTAGCGACAGCAATGAAGCAAGAGGAAACCTGGCGGAACTGATGGCCCACAATGTTTCCACAGCCAGGAAGTATTATCGATAACAAGAAAAATCGATATCCTCCGACCTGGCTCCTAAACACTTGCGTCAAGTCATGCCTGGGGAAGACGAAAGCCCAAGCGTTTCCACTGTAGACGAGGGAGATTCTTCCAAATGTTATTGGAGCAAAGACCAAGAAACTGATGATGAGAGATCTGTTTAAAGAGGACATCGAGGGGAAATCTGTGAAAATGCAAACGGTGAGGGAGAAAATAGCTGAAAATGAGCAGCTGAAGGACAGGGACCCCGAAGTTCGGGGGATGTGACATTTCCTCCATCCAATCAGAGCCTGTAAACCTCCCTGACGAACAAGAGACTCTTGAACAAAGAGTGGAGAGATCTTTCGACCAACCTTGGGAAATACAGACCACAACAACACAGGCAAGTAGTGTTCGTAGCCTATTTTCATCTTTGGAGCTTGATAGGCTGAGAGCTATGTTTAATAATGAGATCATCACGACAGCTGTACCAATCTCAAAGCCCAAGGTCAAAGATATTCTTCGAAAGGAAGATGGGGGAAAAGAAATCTTACAAAAAGCCTCGTTAGAAACAATACTTAATCGGGTGAAATACGTAAGGCGCCTTACAAGATCTAAGGCAGCTAATATTAGAGTTGTTTTTAAAAATAGTTAACAGTTGATTTAAGTCTGTACAAAATTGTTAGGTGTTCACCTTTCATGCTTATGCGCCTCCTGTTTTGGTTGTAGTTTTTATCCTGTCCTCTTCTACATTTTTAAGCTCAACCTAGTACCTAAAGACGTTGCCACCCGGGGGAAGTTCGCTGCGTAAAAATGCATTGTAACTCGAATGTTTGTTCTTCAGAATAAAAGTGTAATGACATTCCTGTCGGATCATGAACGGTCTAAATAATTGCACAGTTTTGCACACTTGTTTACAATGTACTGTTGTCAAGGGTCTTGAGATTTGCTAGAGATTTTGATAAAGTTCACGTTACTAAAATAGGTTAGACCGGCTATCTAATTCAAGTTTTTGTTGAGTGGATAACGGAGCTGATTGTTTGTCTTGTCTCCACGTCTACGCAAATGAAAGAAACACAGTCAAAGTGTTAAGTAAAATGTTGGGTTGTTCAATAAATGAGACTAGTCAGTGTTTAGAAACAACTAAGAAATTGTATCCAAAGCGGCTGGAAAAGCACCAAATTTGTTTGTGCTCTGTTCGCATCAAGTTTGATAATGAACAAGGAAAATACCTGCAACTGCTATTGCACTGAAAGTGACGTTTATCTTGAGAGTAACACCTCCAAATCAGCGTCACATAAGTTCACTTAGTGCCCTATTCAAGTCGCCAAAGTTCTCTAATGTCACTAAAGTTCCCCAGTGTCTTCGCAAAAGTTCCCTAGTGGCGTCACAAAAGTTCCCTATGCTCGTCACAAAAGTTCCCTATGCACGTCACAAAAATTCCCTTAGTCGCTAAAGTTCCCTAGTGTCGTCACAAAAGTTCCCTAGTGACGTCAAAAAGTTCCCTATGCACGACACAAAAGTTCCCTATGCACGTCACAAAAGTTCCCTTAGTCATAAAAGTTCCCTATTTTCGTCACCAAAGTTCCCTGTTTTCGTCACAAAAGTGCCTCATTCTTCTGGCTCCCTCTCTCCCCATCTCTCCCTCTCAATCAAGAAAAAAAAACTTTAAATTATCATAGGAAACCTTCACCGTTGGAGCACCACAGTTTCTTTAGAACATACGCCCTTTATTTACTTGCAATTGTAGCTGATGTACTGTTGAGTACACAGGTTTATTGCAGTTTTTTTAATAAGTTAAGAACTGGCGTCTCAAATGAAAGTAGTGTAATGTTACCCGCGTGTGTTTTTCTAAAGATCTTATTTTTAAAAATAACAAATGATACACAGTAAAATAGCCTTTCTTTTCTATTTTTAGGAAAGATCGCATCTCTAAATTCCGACGTAAATATCACACCCAGTCTAGCGTGAGCTTTACTCTCGCTCAGCTAACATATATACGAGGTTTCTAAAGAAAACGTTGAATTGAAGGATAGCTTTGTTGGAACTGGGAGTTGAGGAAAGTAGGTTAACTGCAGTTGAGAATTAAATGATCATCAGTATGTATATTCTCCACACTGCTCTCTATATATTTCCTAAGGCAGCTGACGAGGAGAATTTGATTAACAATCAAGAGCATATTTTGTTGGTGATCATTTCCTCTATTCTTGTGATCTAGTGACTCTATGGGGTTAAAGTGATACTGCCTGTCAACCAGACCACTATTTTGAAAGGATTAGTCCTTCTTGGTCTCTTTATGAGTTATGACGTCACCAAGTGAACCTCTCGCCCACCTCTTCCCAGACTTTTCCCGGACAAAGAGGCCTGAGTCAACGCCTTGAGGAATAGGCCTTACTGGTGAAAAGGCGCACGTACCGCACCTGAATCGTTGCATGCACAGCAGAAGTTTCTACGCAAACTTCGCTAAAAGTTATGGAATTTTTTCCTTGTAAACTATGCATTAGCTAATCGAAGGCTGCATGCATTTTATTTTTATCTCTAAATCAATACCAGAACAAAAATTGACAGCAACGGTTTGATTTTTATTATTTCTATGATTCCGATATCCCTTACAAACTTTTTATTTAAAAGAATAACAAAACAAAGGGAAGCAAGGATCTTCGATGACCCGCACAACAGAATTTTGTAATTCGAGTGTCGAAAGAAACCAAGAAACTGGATTTTACTGGTTTGCTACACGTTGCTCGGTTTGGATAACTCTTGCCAACCTCTCAACCAATGCAAAAGTAAAGTCCGCGGACCGCCGAGGGAACAAATCTCCGAAATGCGCCAGTTGCAACAGTTGAATACCAGCCAATCACAGAGGAACAATGCTTCCAGAAAGTAAGTTTTTTGACCTTACGACACTCAATTGAATTGCGCTATTAAAGAGATAATTGTTTGTTCTTTAACAGGTTATTACCAGCACAACTAGCTCCTGTCCTTTAATCGAAGAGTTCACGTAAAAAAGTTTCGTTCCCTTTACAAGATAGATATAACTCTGAAAAGCGGGTTACTTAGCGAGTCTTCTTTAAGTTATCATATCCTCAAAGAAATTTCTGGTAACCCGTACAATCTTTGATGGACCAATCTAACTCTCTCAACACTTAAAAACAAAAATGCGTTGAATATTTCGGACAAAGCCATAAACCATCAAATATGTCACATGAACTTTAAACTTTATAAATATAAATTAATAGCATTCTCTGTCACTTTCTAGTAGGCGTGTTGTTCAGTTTTACCTCATATCTCGCTGAAAAACGAGGAAACTTGAACGATTAAGTTCAATATCTATCGATTTTGCATACTAAATTGTTCGTAATCGCCTCTTCAAATCCTAGCTCAAAGAATTAAACCAATACATAATTATTAATAAATCTTTTGAACATTTACAACACATGAATGATGCAATAAATTATCTTTCGCATTTCATGGTTTCAACTTCTTTTATATTAGCGAATAACAGTGAATCTCAAAGCATATTTATAAATAAAAGTTCAAATGATTAGTCCCTTAATTTAGACCCTTCCTGAAAACCGCACTCGTCAAAATTGATTGCTTACCACCCACCCCCAACTTTTCCCCTCCCAGAACAAAAACCTTTTTGTTACCAATGACAACCAAACACAGCAACTTCTGAAACAAGGAATGTTCCCAACTTAACTGATATTTCAATATTTTCAGTGGTAGCGTGCAGAATCTTAAATAAGAAAACTGATCATACAAATCAAGACAATTATCAGCAGTTAATCAATGCTTAATACTTCTTCCACAAGTATACTGTCGTTTTTTTAGTATTTTGCCACAATAGAAAATGAAAAATTTGACATATGTACAGGTGTTGGTGTTGCTTGCATCTCGGATATTAAGAAATGGATGTTAACTGATCGACTGAAAATCAATGACGATAAAACTCAATTCATTGTAATTGGCACTCGGCAACAACTTCAGAAAGTCAACATTGAGTCTCTTCGGGTAGGTAGCACTAATGTGTCGTCATCCTCAGTTGTCAGGAACTTGGGGTGTTGGTTTGATGACCAACTTAAAATGGATACTGTTATCAATAACACATGTAAAGCTGCGTACTTTCATATTCATAACATCAGAAAAATCAGAAAATTCCTAGATTTTGAGAACACTAAGACCTTAGTCAATGCCTTCATCACAAGCTGCCTCGACTACTGTAATAGTACTCTTTATGGTTTACCTGCCTGCGAGCTACAAAAATTGCAACGTGTACAGAACACCGCTGCAAGACTTATCTGTAGGATCGGCCATTTTGACCACATTACACCATCGTTACAATGTCTTCACTGGCTACACCCATAAAGAATCGTGTTGAGTTCAAAATTCTGCTGATCACTTTTAAATGTATTCATAAACTAGCTCCAACTTATCTACGCGAACTTATTTTATAACACAACCAAAGTAAAGCGCGCGCTCTGATTGGTCAACTTAGCGTCCCCCATTTGCCCATGGGTGTACGCTGCTGACGTGAGCAAATGCAAAGACTATTTTTCCGCGCGCGTTTGTTTTTTCTGGTCACGTAAGATTTGTTACATAAAAGGGAACTCTTTAGCTACAATGTATCAA